CTTCTGCCCCCCCTCCCCAGTGCCCCGCCCCTCAGCAGACGCGTGCATCGGAGATGAGAATCATTGAGTGACGCGGCCACAGATGCAGCAGCAGCAGCAACACACACACACGCATCATCATCAGCAGCAGCAACACACACACGCATCATCATCATCAGCAGCAACACACACACGCATCATCATCAGCAGCAGCAACAAATACACACACACGCATCATCATCATGATCAGCAGCAGCAGCAACAACACACACGCATCAGCATCAGCAGCAACAACACACACGTATGATCATCATCAGCAGCAACAACACACACGCATGATCATCATCAGCAGCAACAACACACACACACGCATCATCTTCATTATCAGCAGCAGCAACACACACACGCATCATCATCATTGTCATCAGCAGCAGCAACAACACACACACACGCATCATCATTATCAGCAGCAACAACACACACACACGCATCATCATCATTATCAGCAGCAACAACACACACACACGCATCATCATCATCATCAGCAGCAACACACACACACGCATCATCATCATCATCAGCAGCAACACACACACGCATCATCATCATCGTTATCAGCAGCAGCAACACACACACGCATCATCATCATCATCAGCAACACACACACACACGCATCATCATCATCATCGTTATCAGCAGCAGCAAGCAGCATGGCGCAGTGGTAACAACTCGTGCCACACAGCAAGAAGGGCCTGGGTTTGATGCCCGACTCGGGCGTCTCCCTGCGTGAAGTCTGTATGGTTCCCTCCCAGCCTTCCTCCCCATGAGTTTCCTCCGGGTTCTCCGGTTTCACGCGATAGTTTAGAACATTGTTTTTTTTTAAACTGGTATTGGCCAAAAAAACATCCCATTATTGAGAAATTGGCTGCAAATGTACTCAGCTGGGATCACGCACAGCATCAACATCGGCCCCCTGCCGCGAGCACGTGGCAGCACCCTCCTGAAGAAGAGTCTTGAGACTGAGTGTGACCTTCCTGGGTAAACAATCGGAATAGTAATAAACTATTTTAACTAGGAATAAAAAATAGTCAACAGCCGCCATCATCATCGTTCACGACATTGTCAAACTCACCATCATCATTCACAACCACTACCATCATCATCGTTCACAACATCACCATCATAATCCTCACCATCATCACCATCATCATTGACAATCACTACCACCAGCACCATCATCATCGTTCACAACATCACCATCATAATCCTTGCCATCATCATCGTTCACGACATTGTCAAACTCACCATCATCACCATCATCATTATTAACAACCACTACCATCATCATCGTTCACAACATCATAATCCTCACCATCATCACCATCATTAATAACAACCACTACCACCAGCACCATCATCATCGTCTTCACCACAACAACCACCTCGATCAGCACCTTCATTGACATCGACCTCACTCGCCTGCGCCGTTCTGAGGTCTTCTCTTTGTAGGTGCAACGGGACAACCGCATTTGCAGTGGTGCACAAACATAAATAACGTTTCGGGCAATAACCCTTATTCATTGAGCATTAACTTCTGTGCCATGACTGGTAGCGTCACCTATTGTTGATTGCGTTTACTCTTTAGGCCACGGTGCTATTGACGAATGTGTTGAGTTATTTATTTATGAGTACGCAGGCAGCAGGTTGACAGGTGGTCGGGCAGGCAGCTGTCGCGTATTGCCAGGCGAGAGCCCATTGAGGCGCTCCCACCACCACTAAGCAGCCAATTAACTAACGACCGTTTCAAATAATCGTCACTGATGTTTGGCCGTGAGCGGAAATCAAACTCGAGTCGCCGAGTTCGCAGCGCGCCAAGCACTGCACCACCGCTCCCCACGAAACAAACACCCCCCTACATAGCCTTAACGGACTGTTGGGACAAGTGCTGTTAGCGAGTACTACCTATGAAGGCCGGCACGGTACGCAAGGCCAACACCACGCTCGACCGCCTTTGTCTCACCAGGTACTTGTTTGAGGCTGAGTCGACCTAGAAGATAATATAATCGAAACTGGTGTTGCCCGTGAGCGGGAATGTCAACTCGGGTGGCCAGGTTCGTAGAGCAGCGCGCTAACCGCAGCACCACCGCTCCCCACCACACAGACCAATACACACACCAAACACTTACACATTCAATGACTCTATTCCTCTCTAAGCCTTTGAGCGCCCTCAATCCCTCGCTATTGATCAGGGCCAAATCCCGCCCGCAGCCGCCTCTATTCCTGGGAGCTGGGTTCGACACCGGGGTCACGGTGGGGCCCCCGAGGGTCAAACGCCGCCGCGGGGAAAGGGATTTAGTCCGCGCGAGCGGCGAATCCCCGCAGCTTATAGGGTCAGAGTTGGGATGGGGTTAGGGTCAGGGTTATGGCCAAGTTGCTGCCGCCTCTGTTGATCTCACTTGTGGCACCACGCGTGGATCCACAGTTGATAGAACGTGAGTCATTGTGGTTCCCACTAGTATTAGGCTTAGAGCTATAGGGTTACAGTTGTTATAGGGTCAGGGATAGGGTCAAGTGGCCAGTTCTGTGTTGGTCGCACACGTGGTCCCAAGCGTGGTTCGGCAGTGGTCCACAGTTGATCCAGCACGCGTGCTTGGTATGGGGGGTCCGAGCAGGTAGCCGGTGCCCCAGTTCGTGTGGAGGTGGTCACCTGTGCCGTGAGATCATTGGCGGTCCGTGGCTCCAGGTGGAGCACGCTGGGATTTTTTTTTGCAATCGCTCCATCTCCGCAGGCGGACGGACTCTCCTGTGCGCGTTCCCTCCCGTGGTGAGTCTCAACCCCCCCCCCCCCCCCCACGGCCGTCGTCCGGCACAGCGAGGTGTCCTGTCCACGCTCCACTTACCTGGGTGAAGCTCATCGGGCTCGGGTCACCAGGTTCATTGCGCAGTGCGCTAACCACTGTGCCGCCGCTCCGCCGCTCTTCCGTCATAGGGCAGTGATAGTGATGAAACAAACTCAACACGGGTTGTCAATATGACTGTGGCCTTCAAAGGGGAAAACAAATACATATAATAGGTGACGTTTCCGGCGATTCTGCTTTTTCATAGAACACAATGGGTGGGCCATATAATAGGTGACGTTTCGGGGAATGGCCCTTTTAGATAGCGCAAAGAAGGCCATTGCCTGAAACGCCACCAAATATATATTTGTTTCCTTTTAAGGCCACAGAGTTGTTGACGAATGCGCTGAGTCGGTGTTGTTCGACGTTCTTGTGCACCACTGCCAACGCAACAACAACAGCAACAGCAGAACCGAATCGCGTGACGGTGACAAAGGTGGTGCGTGTGGATCCCAGTTCACAATCCGCCGGTGCCGGAGCGTGGTGATGGTGCCCTCTGGTGTCCTATCTTGGGATCTCCGCGTATCCTTGGTCTTCCCAGCGCTGATGTGAACACGCTGAATTTTTTAAAACTAAATCGTACGCATGTACGTTGAACTTCTTTCGCACCGTACGTAGCCGACCGTGCTAATCGCAGGTGCGGGGAAGGGACAACAAACTAAACACAAAAATCATGTTTTAAAGGAAATGAGTTTTCAATCGAAATGATTTAAAAGTGCATCGCTCCAAGTCGCTTCCTGATATCGGAAGGAAGAGCGTTCCAGACGGCCGCAGAAACGCATCTGAAAGCGCGCGGTCGGCCTAGCGGAGAGGCCGAGGACTGGTTGAGATCTCACGCGCTGCTGATGTCCCCCGTGGATGGGACTCGAACCCAGGTGGCTGGGGTCGTCAGCGGAGCGCGTGCCACAGACACACAACCGCCTCGCGTTGTCAACAGCGGCGAAGAGATTGTAACCCCTCGCGACTGTGTGGATTGTTACTATTAAGGGGCGCGATTCGATTCAAGAATGAAGTATTTATTTTACACATTGTGGTGAATTTAGTGGCGTCTAGTGGCTGATGGGGTCACTTGATCTTACTGCGTTCAACTCGTAGGCTTCCGCGACCAACGAAACAGGTCGGCTTTTCCACAAATCTGGCTGTCGCTTGATGAAGCTAGTTGTAATTACTGACAAAACGTCGTAACTCAAGATTGTAAATGGTGTGGCTTGGCTCTCCAACACACCGGTTAGTGCTGTACTAGTGACGAATTGGCCATGTTCTGTTTACGTGACAACTCTTACTAATTGGTTGTGTCGGGTGGTGGCGGGTTTAACGACACATTTATATATTTACGCGATCTAACCCAAAAAAACCTCTTATGGATTCAACATACATTTAGAAAAATATAGATAACTAGCTTTACTACCCGGCTTCGCCCGGGACTTGGATTATTGTCTTGGATTCATTTCATATTACTTCATATTTCACTAGGAAAACCCTGACCAAAAAATTGATGCTTGCAAGAAAGAAAAAATTCGAATCAAATCAATTAACAAAATGGGATGTTTTTCACTGAAAGAAATTAAACCTTAACCCACTTATACGCAAGGTCGATTTAGGCAACTCGATGAAGGGAATGACGTGGCGAGCTGAAAATAGTCGAGTACCCTTAGAAATCCCAGACAGCGTGAAGCTGTGCACATTTCATGACGTCAGAGCTCAGCGTTCGAGAGTTTTTGCTGCTTCACACAAACAGATGCATTTTCTGCTTTATATTGAAGAGCGAGCTGAAATTAGTCGCGTTGACTTAGGAAATCGAGACGGCTACGCCGCGCATTTGTGCGGGATACACGGCCTACGCGGAGGGTTTGGGGGGGGGGGTGCGTGACGTCAGTAGGCACACTGCGTGACGCTTCCGCATGCGGGTGATATCACAGATGTGACGTCACCGCTCACTTGCCGTGCAAAATATATTCATTATTGCGCCCCCCCCACCCAAAAAATTTTTTAAAGTATATTTTTATACTTTTTTCATTGTGTACAGTCTGGAAGCTACCCACATGCCAAATGTCAAGTTTGTTGCATGTCGGGAAGTATGCTAAACATTTCGAACAGGACACACATATTCACAAATTTCCCTTTTATGTATATAGATTATTATTATTACTGACGAGTCAGCATCGGTCACGTGGCTCGGAAGTTAAACAGTGGTTGTACGATCGTTCTCCGCCACATGAATGTGGAGTTTCCACCACCGGCTCTGCAGGGCTGCAAGCAGGAGATGATCTGAGCCGGAACTCGCTTCGACTTTCTGCATCGTGCCCATCGCTACAGCACACCACTCAGAACAGAACCACACGGACACGAACAGGAGTTTCATTTGTCCGCACTGACGTTCTTTAGCTCAAGGAGACAGAACAGAGACGCGACTCAGTGAGAGAGGCCGCGCCCAACACCACCACCGCGGCCCCGCGTCTCCCCGCTAACCCCGGGGTCCAACCCTTGCCCACACTTCGGAGGGCATGGGACCTGTGCTCGGGTTCGAACCGATCACCCCGCAGTTGTCGCTCGTCTGGGTTCCGTGCGGCCGCACGCGAATGTCCCGCAACACGCCACGCCGGACGGCCACCGACATCACCGTCGTCGTCATCATCACCACCGTCAGCCAAGGTCTATCCACTGCTGCATGAAGGCCTCTCCAAGTCACCCGCCATCCTCCACGGTCACCGCGAGGCAACGATTCCGCTTGGCGCACGCAGCGCGCGAGCCGAGTCCATCGCCACCGCTCCGTCTCCGCGTTGGACGTCCCCTCTTGGGCCGCTCTCCCTCCCCTGGACTTCCACCGAGTGGCTCGTCTCGCGCACCGGCCACCGAGTCATCGGAGCCACGACGTGTGCTGCCCCAGCCCTGACCGGCACGTGGTAGCAAACAGAATGCTCGACTCTGCACTCAAAGAGTCCTCGACATTTCTCGTGCAGGATGAGGTGGGGGGGGGGGGGGGTTCTGACCATCAGCGAGTGTTCATTTCGCGAGTCGTGGGCAGGCGCTCGGAAAAATAAAAAATTCTTCCGTACGAAAGAAAGAGGCCGATCAGAGTTCCGCAACTGCGAGCCTTCGAGCAACCTACTTGCTGCACCGTCTCCCCCGTGCAGGCACCACCGCATCGGCCCGATCCGCGCGGGCGAGTCCCCGTCTCTGCGAGATCCACCAACCCCCCCGCTCCACCCACATGTTTTGCCGAATTACGCCACCACCCCGTCGCGGCGGCGGAACCGATCGTCCTTCGAAGTAATCATACAACTCGTGGCCGAGCAGTCGTGGCCACGTCTCACGGTGACGACGGTGACGACGATGACGACGATGACGATGATGACGACGATGAGGATGCGGTGGCTTCAGTAACCGCCCAACTGCTCGCCCGCCACCACGGCCGAGCGCACGAACCACCGTCACCACCACCCTCGCCCATCCCCTCCGTGGTCAACCGCCGAGGCGCGGACGACTCATGGGAGAGGAGAGAGAGGGGAGAGTTTCGTCGATCGGTCGATTGCGTTGGCTTCGCCGCTTCCCACCGACGCCAGCGTCTGTGACGCTGCGGAGACTTCGACGGAGAGAATGTTCACGCGGCTCCCCGCGTGCACGCGGCTCCCCGCGTGCACGCCACGGCTTTTGCGCGGTGGTGGTGTCGCTGTTGTTGTTGGTGTCGTTGTTGTTGTTGGTGTCGTTGTTGTTCTGTGAGTTGAGGAAGGCAGCTGGTGCTGAACGGAGAGCGTCGCACTCTCCTCCCCTCCTTCTCCCCCTCCTTCGAATTGTTCTGCCCCTCTTCCTTATCATCCTCCCTCTTCGTCTTCCTCCTCCTCACGGCGACAGGGATGGACGGGATGAGGAGGCAGCCCACGGCACCGATAAACAGCGGCAACTTAAAACTGCCCCTGCAAATTCACGGCAGCAAAATCCGACAGGTGGCAAGTGAGTTAGACGCGTGCGTCGCAGGGTTACTGTCGCGCGCTGTGCCCTCGCCTGTTTACCAGGGGCGTCCGTTCAGCACAACCGCGTCTCAAGGTGCCTCGTCTCACCGCAGTGAAGATGGGAGGGGGGGGGGGGGGCTCACGGAGGAGCCCACTGACTCTGCCGACAGCTTAGAGAAGAGGCGAAGAGTCAGGTCTGGAGCCTCATCGTGAACTTTGTCGACCAATTACTTGGCTCGTTCTGGCTCTGATTTATCGGCCGATACCACACAGTGATTATTCTTTCTCGTGGGGGGAGATGGAGGGGGTGGGTTGGGGGGGGCGCGGAGTGGGGGGGGGGAGATAATCCCAGAATACACGGTGGGGGGGGGGGGGAGACAGCAGAGAATGAGCGACCTCTACCGCAGGGCGAACGAGAGAATCAAACGGCCGTCACCTCCAGCTGCTGAGTGTGATGACGCTTCGACGCCGCCGCCGAGGAGGAGGTGGTGAGACGAGGCTCCTTGTCCAGGGTGGCCGTCTGTGGGTGCGCGTGGACGGGCAGCAGGTCGTAGTGGCCGGGTATGTGGCTGTTCTTGGGGAGGTCGTACAAGCCGTGCTCCACCTGCTGCTGATGCTGCTGACGCCGTAGCAACTGAGCGTGGCGGTGGTGCTGCTGCTGCTGCTGTGGGTGGTGTTGGTGGTGGTGGCGGCGGTGGTGCAGCTGTGCCGGCGCGCTTGTGCCGCCGCCGCCGTGCACCACGCTCACCGTGGGTTCTGCGGAGGAGAGAGGCAGCGACGGCGCGGTTCGCATGATGGGGGGGGGGGGGGGGCTGTGCAGTTGCACCGCCTGTACACTCGATAGCTACGTTGCCACTGCCCTTCTCATCCACAACTCTCCTCTCATCTACGCACTCCCCAACATTCATCTCTCTCCAGCGAGCACTCCCCACTCTTATTTATTACAATAAATACAATTATTAATTTAATTATTCATCAAAGCAACGGTGATTAATGAGGAGACCGAAACACTTGGAGAATCCCCACGCGTGAAATGGGGCAACCCTCTGTGGCGATGAGTATCGCTGCTGTACTGCCTTCTCCTGGCCTAGCCAGGGCATGGCACCTCCTCTACGCCCACCCACGGCAAGGGGTCTTCATCGCCCGTCCGTGCGGTGATCCACCAACCCTCGCCGCTGCTGCCTCCTGCACCGTGGGCGGACTGCAGGCAGCCACGTGCAGCAGCGCAGCCACCGCAGCCGCCGCGGCTCGGCCCCTGCTGTCTCCCCGCCACCCCCACACTCATCACACCCGCGCAGTGCTTGCCGCAAATGAGCCACAATGACTCGCTGATCTCGTCACGGGGCACGAAACATCATCACGCGGACTCTGGCCACCCTCGCAGCAGCAGCAGGCAGCGGCTTTTGGCTGCTCAGCCATCGAACAAAAACGGCGGTCACCGCTTCTACGGCCGTCTGGAACGCTCTTCCTTCCGACATACGAATGCCACTGGAGCTGTGCACTTTAAAATCATCATCGAGACGTAACACTCATTTCTCTAGCACCGATGTTTGTGTTCAGTGTGCTGTCCTTCCCCCGCACCTCAGATTAGCACGGGTTGGCGACGTACGGCGCGAAAGAAGTTCAACACACCTCCTGTCCACACACACACACATACCACAAAAGATCCCCCGTATAGCCTTAACAGACTGTAGGGGCAAGTGCTGTTAGCGAGCACCTATGAAGGCCGCAACGGTACACGAGGGGGTGGGTGGCCAGCACCACGCCCGACCGCCTTTGTCTCCCCAGTGGCGATGTTTACACACCGTACCAGGTACTCATTTAAGGCTGAGTCGACCTAGGGGAGGCCCAGAACCGGTTCAGATAATTGTCACTGGTATTGGCCGTGAACGGGAATCGAGCCCGGGTCGTTGGGTTCACAGCGCAGCGCGCTGACCGCTACACCACCGCTCACCCCTCACCCCTCACCCATCTCGTAGACGTTCCTGGTGCTGCCGGGGGCGGCGTGGGCGGCGAGGCCGTGCGCCGGCGAGCAGACGATCTCCGCGTACGTCGACTCCCGCGGCCCCCCCGGCCCCCCCGGCGCCCCCGGCGCCTTCATCTCCACGTAGCCCGCCGCCTCGGAGCCCCGGGGGGGCGACACGGGCCCCCCCCCAGCCGGCGGGGGTGGCGACCTCGCGGGCGCGGGAGAAGCGGGGAGCGCGGGGGTCTCCCGGATCGTGGCGTAGGGGCTCTCGCTGCCCACCGAGCCAGAGCTGCCCCTGCTGCCCTTGCTGTACTCTGCACAGATGCATTCGAGGAGGCACGGGTCGAGAGAGACAGTGCCGCTGGGTGAATGTACGAGCTGGTGCCCGGCGCGGCGCGCGCCGTTTTGTAACATTTTGAAATTTGCACCACTTTGGCCAATCCAACGCTGGGATGAAGGTCGCCCCGTGTCACGATGGTCACGCGGCTTGACCATACTTCACCACGCCGGTCAACGCAGGGACGGGTCACATATCAATCGCCACTGATGTCAGCCGCGGCCGCCGATGGAAATCTCCAACTGAGGTCGGCGCGTTCGTAGCGCAGTGCGCCAACCACTGCGCCACCACTCCACCCATGATCGATTTCCACCACAGGCGGGAGGCGCACGGGACCTGTGCCGCAGGGCCACGAGAGACGGCGACGTGGGGAGGCATTCACCCAGCAGTGGATAGAGCACGGCTACTGCTGCTAATGATAACCATAACCGAACGTTCACTGCAGACTCATATAACAAACGAGATGAGTCAAACAGGACACAATTATACCACACTATGCTTATAATAATGTATTGATTCTTATGTCCATGTGATACGAAGAAGGGCCATTGCCCGAAACGTCACCGATACATTAATCGTAATGCCACACGGTCTTTTTGACGAATGTGTTGAGTTGTTGTTGTCAATGTATTTGCTACCTGTGCTCGTGTACCACTGCCAGCATGGCAGCAGCAGCAGCACGGAGCGTGCCCGCCTCGCATGAGGAGCCGTGCCGCTCGCTGTCAAGCGCCATGACCTCGCCAACTTCGCCTGTGCTCAGGCGAAGTTGGCGGCGTACAGAACGAGGAAAAAGATGCTGGAAGGTGATACTGACGGCTGCTCTGTGCTTCCAGTGTTCAGGGGCCTGCTTAAGGCGCGGCTCCGGCTGGAGCACGCACACCACACACATGCCGGTGATGTACGCGTCTTCTTCGAACGCTGGCGAGCTGGAAAAGCCCTCTGTACCAGCGTGGACGGCACCCTCGTGTTCACCTTCTGAAGCGCTCGCTCGTCACCGTGGCGTACGCGATCACCACCACCACGTGACTTTTCTTTTGTGTTGTGCGCGCTGCATTTAGCGCCACCGCGCGTGGATTCGTAGCGTTTATTTTCATTTGTTTACTGGGGACTTTGTGTATTTCATATCGGAATCGCCTCCAGTGCTGTTGCTGCTGGCGGCAATAAAAGTTGTTTAAAAAGTCAAAAAGTTTGTCTCGCTGTTCCCGGGTTTAAACCCGCGGCTTGCGAGTGAAGGGCGGCAATGCAGTTGTGGAGGGGGTGGGGGTGAGAAGGGTGGGAGGGGGGTAGCCGCGTACCTTTGTGCGACTTGCAGGTGTTATAGGCTCTCTCCACGCCACTGGCGCCTGCGGAGGCACGGGACAGGCGGTCGGCCATTGAACCCAGGGACACACAGCGCTTCTCCTCGCCTGCTCCACTTTGGAACTCCCTCCCATCATCATATTCAGCCATAATCAATCCACTGCTAGAAGAAGGCCTGCCCCCCCCCCACCCCTCCCAAAGCTGTCGCCGTCTCCCACGATCCTCTCACGTACCCAGCTGGTAGGGGTTGCTGGATCGCTTCCAGAGCACGGGCAGAGTGGCACTGCCCTCCGCGCAGCGCGCCGCCAGCTTCTCCCGCTCCAGGTTCTTCATCGCGGGGACGCGGGCATTGTTGGGCTGGTACACAAAGACAAAGATCCCCCGTGTGGCCTTAAACTGTCAGGGCAAGTGCTGTTGGCGAGTCGTACTTATGAAGGCCAAAACGGCGCCCGAGGGCGTGGGTGGCCAACACCACGCCCAGCCGCGGCGTTTAACACACATTGCACCAGGCACTCATTTGAGGCCGAGTCGACCTAGAGGAGACCCAGGACCCGGTAAAAAAACCCATCTCCCACATGTATTGGCCGTGAGCGGGAATCGAACTCTGGTGGCCGGGGTGGCAGTGCAGTGCTCGCCGCACCCTCCCCGTGCAGCGCAGCTCCAAGTTGTTGTTAGCGATGCCCTGCGCACTGTGGCCCTGGCTCAGGGTCTGGTAGCCTGGGTTCACGTACAGGCTGTGGCAGCCGCACTGCACCGGGTGTTCTGTCTCAGCACAAACAACAACAAACAACAACCAACAGCAACAACAACAACACGGGTTATTCACGCGTGCAGGCGCACTCATATCGGCCAACCACTCTCTATGCGTCGTGAAGAGTTCGGGCGCCACTCAACATTCAAGCATTTAATTAATGATCATTGTCACGTCTCCCGGCTATATTCAGTTGCCCGTTAAACTGAAGGTCCTGTCGGTTTAAAAATAATCCCTTGGTATTTACCGGGTGCTCAAAGGAGTTGAGACATACGTTACGGTGAATGCACGTAGAGTCGTGGTCGTGGAGGCATAGACGTTAAGAAGAAGAGGAGGGAGGGGTTGGTTCATGAGTTAGTAGGCGAGTGAGGAGGTGAGTGGGTGGGAAGGTGAGTAGGTGAGTGAGTGGGTGAGTGAGTGGGTAGGTGAGTAGGTGAGGAGTAGAGCGCCACTCACCTCCGATTAGAACAGTTGGTTACGTACGGTGCAAAAAAATGTCCACATACACACACAAAGTCGTAGAAGATGCAGAGACGCAGAGAGAGAGGAGGGGTGGATATTGAGCCTCCAGAGAGGATAATGAGATCGAAGGGAGGGTGTCTTGCCAATAAACTGAGGCTTTCCTTAACCGTGTGCATATTGAGTGGCATCCAAGTGAAGGTCTAAATTCAGAAACGTCGCCTATTATGTACTAATTTTCTGTTATTGATGAATGCGTTGAGTTTTGTTTGTTTGTTATTTTGTTATCTGTGCCTGTTGCACCGCTGCCAACGCAACAACAACAGCATCACGTAGTCCGGATATTAAAATCTCTACCACGGGAGGGAGCTCTCAGGCTTGGCGTGAACGCGACAGCGTCCGCGGCAAAAAAAAAACCTAAAATCGATTTCACCACTCGGGCGCGTGCGGTTAGAGGAGTCACCGTGCATCGGTTGACATTGATCGTCCCAGCTCACGGTACGTGCCATCGAACTGCGTGTGTTAGCCACCAACGTGCTCATTAGCACGTACGTGCGTCTGTGCATGCGCGTAAAGATCCACCCATGAATTCGCCGCGTGTGCGCGCCTGTAGCTCTCCCTCTCTCCCTGTGTCCGCGCGTGCACGTCTCTCCGCACGTGCACGTGTCTCGGCGCGCGTGCACGTGTCTCTGCGTATCTCCCTGCGCGTGCACATTTCGTGTATTCTTTCCTCTCTCGCTGCGCGTGCACGCATTCGTATCTCTGCCCGCATATGTATGTCTGTCACTCTGTGCGCGCGCGCATGCACGTGCGTGTGTGCGTCTCTCTCGTTCTCTGCGCGCGCGTGTACGTGCGTGTGTGTGTGCGTCTCTCTCGTTCTCTGCGCGCGCGTGCACGTGCCTGCGTGCGCGCACTCCGACGCCACGGAGCGCGCCGCGCCGGCGCTGAACGAGGCCGCGGCCGCCGCCGCCCCGGCTCCCGGTTCGCGCCGCCCGCCGCGGGCGAGGCCGCGCAGCCGCCGCCGCCTCCGCCGGTAGAACACCGCGAGCAGCAGCAGCGCCAGTAGCAGCAAGAGCAGCAGCAGCAGCACCAGCACCACCCCGACCACGGCCCCCAGCGACTCCCCGCCCGCTGCCTCCTCGGGCGGCCCGCCCGCCCCGGCCGATGGGGCCAAGGCCGGGGAGGGCGGCAGTCCCACGGGCACGAGGGGAACGAGGGCACCAAATCCCTCCACTCCCATCCCCATGCCCCCTGAAGCGCGCCACCCCCAAGGGGAGTCGAGGAGAGACACACACGCGCGCACGTGGAGAGAAGACAATGATTAAAGTGATTACAATCAGTCAAAGTCGAGTTTAAGTGTTGCATGAACATTATCACTGGTGCTGAGACAATGGTGGGAATTCCACATTCCTATGGCGGGGACCAGTCTCTCCGCACGACGACCACTGTTGGGTGCCCAGGAAGTCATGATGATGATCATTGCATTGACACTAGTGGGATGATGACGATGATGACCATGATGGTGATTTTGATAATAGTGATGATTGTTAATCACCATGTGGCCACGTGGTCATTATGATGATAATGAAGGTGATGATTGTGATTACGACGATGATGATGGTCATTATTATAATAGTCAGAATGCTGGTGGCCATGGTGATTGTGATGATGAAAATGCTGCTGCTGGTGGTGATGATGATGTTAGAGACTAGCTGGGTAACCTCACCCTGACCGGGACTTAAACTGGGACGTCCCCACTTGTGGGGTGAGCTCTGGGCTCACTGCCACGCGCGTGGACACGAAACGCTCCGAAGCGGTCGCTGCTCGTCGTCTCATTGTGTGCAATTATCTTTTTGTTTTACATCGTGGAGCAAATGTATCGTGCTTTATTGGGCAGGCTGCAATTCGTGCCAATATAGTTTGCACATTAATTTAACTCGCACGTTTCCTTTTTTTGTTAAACCGCTCATCAAACTAAATGAGCCTGGTGAGCAGTGCAGCGTGGTGTGCGTGTTGGTGTGATTGTCTTTGTGTGGTGTGTTTGTGCGTGCGGTTGCGTGTGTGTGTCGGTACGACTGTGTGTGCCACGTGGCTTTGTGTGCATGGACACGCTTGTGTGCGTCGGTGCCGTTGTGCTGGTTGGCGTGGCCGTGCGTGCTCGCGAACGCCACTTGCTCCGACAGTCTGATGAGGCTACACGGGGGATCTTTGTCTGTGTTTCTGTGTGTGCGCGTGTCCACACGTGTCCACGCGTTTGGTATCGTAGCGTGAAGCAATGCCATCAATTAGCAATGCTGCGCTCCCATTGGTCCGCGCAGGAATGCAGGGCCATTTACTGTGCAGGCGAAATGCGTTCAAAAAGGCCCATTAGTGGTCGCATTTCTCTTAATTAAAGAGGCGCACTCGCCCCGGCCGTTAATATACCACCAGGATGGATTCAGACAGACGATCAGCACATTAACTCGTGGATTTTACGACGATAATGAGCCAAGAATGTCAGTGCGTCCCGCGCGTGACGTCACTCCACGTCGGCCAGCCCCCCTCATTAATAATCATGAACAGGTTACGTCCCGATTTAAAGCTTTCGTAACTGCAGGGATTCATATTATTTGGGTCTCCGTAACGCTATTAAGACAGAAGTAAAAAGGACATCATGATGAACCATGGATTATAACCTTTAAATGAAATAGGTCTGTGTCACCGCGCCCTTCCAAATTGCACACGAATTGATGCAATGAATATCACGTCGCGGTCTGCTTTTCGCTTGCAAGTTTCAGATTTACTGAAATGCACTCGTCCTTTGACGGGCAAAAGGCGAGTGCCTTCACTAATGTTCCAAACGCCGGTGACTCGTTGAATTCCAGTGAGCTCATGATCCGATAGTGCCTGGCACTCCAACCTTCCCTACCAACACTAATGCAAGACTGCCTCTCTCTCTCTGTGAAGAGCAGTATATCCTGATGATGGCCAGTGGGCCGAATCGTTAATATATATAAAAAAACATTATCACTGACAATTTTAATATATATAACAACTCTGTTGTTGGTTCTAATTAACCTGCAACCTCGTGTATATGTCTATCTATGTATGTGTGTAACTGTGTGTGTATGAGTGTTGCGAGGAGCGGTGGTGCAGCGGTTAGCGCATTGCTCAACACCAATGACGATTATCTGAACCGTTTCTGGGCCTTTCCTCGGTTGACTTAGCCTCCAATGAATATTTGATGCGGTGTGTAAACATCGCCACTCGGGAGACAAAGGCGGCCGGGCGTGGTCCTGTCCACCCACCCCCTTCGCGTGCCGTGCCGCCCTTCGTAGGTTGCTGCTCGCTAACAGCACTTGCCCCAAAATCCTGCTCAGGCTTTACGGGGGATCTTTGTCTTTGTATGTGCGTGTCCGTCAAGTATATATGCGTTTGTATGTGTGAGTGGGGTGTCTGTATGGGGTTGTCGTGTGTATTTGCGCGTGTGTCTTTGTATGTGTAAGTAAGTATTGTATGTTTGTATGCATGTGTGTGTGTAGCTGTGTATCTTACTGCTGACACAGCCCTGCACCGGGTGGCACATCTGATATGAGAAGCAATCACAGCGGAACTGGCACTGAGGACCATAGTGGCTGGGCTGACACGCTGATGTCAGGGAAGGGGCAAGTGGTGTGTGAGTGAGTGTGTGAGAGGGTGAGTGAGTGTGAGGGTGAGTGAGTGAGTGAATGTGTGTTTGAGAGGGTGAGTGAGTGGGTGAGAGGGTGTGTGAGAGGGTGAGTGAGAGGGTGAGTGAGAGGGTGAGTGAGTGTGTGAGAGTGTGAGGGAGTGTATGAAAGGGCGAGTGTATGAGGGGGTGAATTTGCGAGAGGGTGAGTGAGTGGGTGAGTGGATGAGTCCATCAGAAAACACAATAACAAAAACACAAACACGCACACAAATTATGCTAATATAATGAAAATGCAAATTCAACTAATTAGGGTGGCGAGATGTGCATGGGCGCTTACATATTTACAGTTCACAGGCAAAAATAATATCAACAGTAAAAACATCAACAAAATCAACATTTCCAGGCTTCGAAAAAAAAACGAGCAAAAATATAACCGTGTCATTTTACACGCGCTACTGAAATAAGCTCGCAGATGGCGACTAAAGCGGGTAAATAAAGCAGAAATCACGACGGGGACTGGCACACGGAGACAACGAGACGGGCCCCATTCAGCACTGCGCGTGGCAATGTCCGCACAACAACAATAACAACACACTTCGTCTCACTCCACTCCCCTCCACGCACTCTCCTGCCTCTCCCCTCTCGTCTCACTCTACTCCCCTCCACGCACTCTCCTACCTCTCCCCTCTCGTCTCACTCCCCTCCACGCACTCTCCTGCCTCTCATCTCACTCTACTCCCCTCCACGCACTCTCCTACCTCTCCCCTCTCGTCTCACTCTACTCCCCTCCACGCACTCTTCTACCTTTCCCCTCTCATCTCACTCTACTTCCCTCCACTCACTCTCCTACCTCTCCCCTCTCGTCTCACTCTACTCCCCTCCACGCACTCTCCTACCTCTCCCCTCTCATCTCACTCTACTCCCCTCCACGCACTCTCCTACCTCTCCCCTCTCGTCTCACTCCACTCCCCTCTACGCGCTCTCCTGCCTCTCCCCTCTCGTCTCACTCCACTCCCCTCCACGCACACTCTTACCTTCTCTTCCTTGCCGTCTCATCCACCATTCACTTTTCACAAAGATGCGTTTTAAGTGCTTAACATTTAGACCGTATGTTACCCTGCCTTACAGGGCAGGTGCCCACGTGAATTCCCATCACTCGTGTGCGTGAACCTCTAGAGAAGAAAACAAGTGAATGTGTCGATTGAGTCTCAACACATTTGTCGGTGTTGTAAATTCTCTCCGCTCCCGGCACATCACGTGAGCTTCTCCAGTTATGTAAGTGTTTGCATGAAAGTACTTTCACGTGTGCAAGGGGGGGGGGCGTCTGGGGTGCCGATTGACACGCGCACGGCGAACGAACCGCTGATACGCGTGTAAAATCTACACCCTGTGCAGAATCCATACGGTGAGCATCACACGCAGTCAAAGCGCGAACGTAAACGCGCAAACACACGAATAATTAAGTGGCGTTCACCGAGCCGTTCACGGAGGATGTCCTCTCGAGCCGTGACGGGTTTGCCGACGCTGTTCGAGCGAGTTTTAATTGGGGATGTGACGAGTTGAGAGTGGTGCCGCGTGCGTTCCTGTGTCTGGGAGGTCGCCCTGCGTCTGCGTCTGTGCGGGTCTCCACTCGGTGGGGGGGGGGGGGGGGGCAGCTATGGCTTTGGGGCCAGAGAGAGCGGAGTGGTCTTTGTTGTTGTGGTTGTTGTGGTTGTTGAGGTTGGCGTGAAACGATGGTTGTTTAGATAAGTTAAGGGAAGGGACCATGAACGAGATTGTTTTAATTGAATTGTTTTAAATTAAAATTCTTATTTTACATAGCATATAGTCGCGTGTCCCTTAATCGTGATTCTTAAATGTTATATAAGCGCACAACTTTAACTATCTGTGATGAACGCTGCACTTTCCGTCGTTTTCATGCAGAGGGCGCTGCAAACCCACGCGCCCCCTGCATGAACGACGGAGGCGCAGGGACAGACGTTCGATCACGTTGGAATCGATCTGCAGACGGCGGTCTTCTCGCACGGCCAGCAGCTCTGTGTCGCCTTATTGCGTGAATGCGTCGTTCGCGTGCAATTATTTTAAACAACCCCTAATTCTTAAATCTGTTCCTGTTAGTTGTAATGTCCCGTAAGTAACACTGAGTCTGTGCTGGGTGAAAAGCAGTGGAGCTCAATAAAACAAATGGGGAGTTTGAATGTTTACATCGTGCAAGTCACTCAAGATGCACAGCAGAGCCAACCTGATACCAGCACCACGTGCCATCCGCGGATCTCATATCGTCACTAATCGGTTGGGTGTGGGGTGACCTATCATCATTCCACTGCTTGTGTTTGCTTCTGTTCGCGATGTAAACGTGGCCCTGAACGCAATGAGCAGTGCAGAGCAGAGCAGAGCGCGTTACCGGAGTCACAACTCATCCCCGTCCAGCCGCTGGCGCAGTAGCAGGCCCCGCTCACGGGGTCACACGTGCTGTTGTTGGTGCAGCCACACGCCAGCTGGCATCGCAGGCCGTACGAGCCCTGGGGACACGCTGTGTGCACACAACGCAAATGCAAAGATACCCTCTCCCACCTTCCGTGTAGCCTTGAGCACACTGTTGGGGCAAGTGATGTTAGCGAGCACCGGTTGAAGGCTCGCACCGCACAACGAGGTAGTGGGGTCGTCCCCACTGCCGATGCTTTTTTAACACAGCGCAGCTTGGCTTTCAGTTAAGGCAGAGTCGACCTAGGAGGGGCCCGGATACGGTTTTCTGATATTATTCGTCGCTGACGTTAACCATAGCGAGGAATCGAACCCGGGTCGCGGGTTCGTAGCGCGCCGCGTTAACCACTGCCCCACCGCTCCCCCGTACACACACAGCCGCACAAGGCCGAACACAGGACTCGTACAGACACCGTGGATGACCGCCCCCCCCCCGCCCCACGGTCCTGCGACAAATACGCGTCTCGCTCCTCCGTCTCGCTCCTCCGTCTCGCTCCCACGTCTCGCTCCTACGCCTCGCTCCCACGTCTCGCTCCCACGTCTCGCTCCTACGCCTCGCTCCCACGTCTCGCTCCCACGTCTCGCTCCTACGCCTCGCTCCCACGTCTCGCTCCCACGTCTCGCTCCCACGCCTCGCTCCCACGTCTCGCTCCCACGTCTCGCTCCCACGTCTCGTTCCTACGTCTCGCTCCTACGTCTCGCTCCCACGTCTCGCTCCCACGTCTCGCTCCCACGTCTCGCTCCCACGCCTCGCTCCCACGCATCGCTCCTACGTCTCGCTCCCACGTCTCGCTCCCACGTCTCGCTCCTACGCCTCGCTCCCACGTCTCGCTCCCACGTCTCGCTCCCACGCCTCGCTCCCACGTCTCGCTCCCACGTCTCGCTCCCACGCCTCGCTCCCACGCCTCGCTCCCACGTCTCGTTCCTACGTCTCGCTCCTACGTCTCGCTCCCACGTCTCGCTCCCACGTCTCGCTCCTACGTCTCGCTCCCACGTCTCGCTCCCACGTCTCGCTCCTACGTCTCGCTCCTACGTCTCGCTCCTCCGTCTCGCTCCTACGCACGGACGTGATCATCCGCACCCTCCTTCGGCCGCTATTCCGTCACGGGTCTTCCTCGTAGGGGAGCGTCCTACCCAAGAGCGCCGACGTCGCATCGCGGTCAACACCGACGCGTCGCCTGATTTGTTGTCGTTTCCCGATCCGTTTGCTCCTATTTATGTTTCTCGCAATAATTCAAAGCACGCGTCTCTACACGCTTCTCTGGGCACTTTTCAGCCTTTGTTCCATTTCCTTTGTGAGTGTCCCGCGTTCCTGATCCATGCGTCAGAGCGGAGCTGACAGTTTGCATTGATCGCAAACTTCTTCGGGCATATCAGCACGCCGCTTTTCGTTATCAAGTTTTAGTCGTTTGTTGATTTTTTTCTCTTTTCAAAACTTCTCCGTCTCGCTCTCGTTTGCCACGATTTCATCAGCGCCACACACATTCTGCAGACACTGCCCGCGGCCAATATTTTCTCAAGTAGTTTTTTTAGTTTTACGCAAGTAAACATCCCTACGTCGGGTCAACGTCTGCGTGTGGTTGGAACCGTTGAGCAAACGTTTTTCCAACCAACGCTCCACGTTTTCCGGGTAAGACATTCAGTTGGAACATCTCGTTTGCTATGCTGTCTAGGGTGTCAAGTCACACAACACACAGTCAGCAAAAAGCTGCGTCACTACAACAGTTCATTTTGTGGAGCAACATAATTTCAAGCGTTTTGATTTGATTCTATTATTATTTCTATTATTGTATTATTATATATTTTTACCTACGTGACTTTACAAAAAAAACCTAAGAGTATTATTTCAAGCGATTTAATTGCACTTATATTTTATATGGAGCCCGCAGACTTTTGGGACAAGTGCTGTTAGCGAGCACCTATTAAGGTTACGACAGAGTGGTGTGGTCAGGACCACGCAGGGCAATGTTTGTCGAGCTTCTTTCGCACCGTACGTAGCCAACCGCACTCATCAGAGGGGCGGATGAAAGCTCCCCAACGCAGATATTTTCCTTACCGCACCGGCTACTCATTTATGGCCGAGTCGACCTAGGAGAATGGCTCTTAACCTTGGGGTGCACGCATCCCCTGGAGGTGCGAGATGCCTTTCTCGTGGAGGAGGAGGAGGGGGTACGATACATGGCCAGATCATTTAGAAGGTAAATAATCGAAACACCAATCAAGCACTGGCCACTTTGTTTCCTCAAACCGATGTTTGTATTCACGCGATAAGTTGTTGTTGTGTTACGACTGAGAACCAAAGCGGCGCAAGGCTGCAACGAAAGGCGAAGCAGCACTGACCTAGAGGAACCCCACAACCGGTTCACATCCACCGCTCGCCACTGACGTTCAGCCGCCGATGCCGAATCCCGGCGACGTGCTCGCCACGCCGCTCGACCCCGACACGCGGCGTCCCCCCCTGCCCCCCCTGCCCTCCCTGCCCCCCTGCCCCCCTGCCCCCCTGCCCCCTGCCCTTCCCCCTGCCCCCCCCTGCCCCCCGCCGGCCTCAACAGGCGCCCGCGGACCGGCGCCACCTACCGAGTTGGCAGCGCGCGCCCGTGAAGCCCGCGGGGCACGAGCAGCGCCCCGTCGCCGACTCGCAGTCGGCGCCGTTCTCGCACGCGCAGCGCTCCGCGCAGCCAGCGCCGAAGAGGCCGACCGGGCAGCCTGGGCAGCGGGGGCAGTGGGAAGGGTGGGGGGGGGGGCGAGGATAATCCTTCTACGTATGTATGCACGTTGAACTTCTTTCGCACCGTACGTAGCCACGCGTACTGATCGGTGGCACGTGGGCCACTCTGATAGATGACGATGATGATCGCGATGGGTGTGCAGGGCGGGCAGCGGTGCCGTGCATTGTGCACCGCGCGGCGAACCCCGCGAACCGAATTCAATTCGCGGGCACGACTCGCGTCAGTGACGCGGGCCGTGATATTTGAACCGTTCCCGGGGTCTCCTTTAGGTCAACCTCTGCGGGAGGTTGGACAGGGTGAAATCGTTACACCTTTAATGAACAGCGGCGCGTCCGTGTCATGCAATGCGCTGTGAACCCCATGTCCCGAGTTCGATTCCAACTCACAAACAACACCTGGAGCGATGTCTAAACCCATCAGCACTCGGGGAGACAAAGGCGGCCGGGTGTGGGGTACGGGCACACCACCCCTTTGTGTGTACCGTGCCGGCATTCATATAAGTTGCTACAGTACTCGCCAACAGCACTTGCCCGAAGCAGTCTGTGAGGCTATACGGGAGATCTTTATCTGTGTGTGTACGTGTGTGTGTACGTGTGTGTGTACGTGTGTGTGTGTCTATGTGTGTGTGTACGTGTTTGTGTACGTGCGTGTACGTGTGTGTGTGTACGTGTGTGTGTGTACGTGTGTGCGTGTGTACGTGTGTGTGCGTGTGTGTGTGTGTACGTGTGTGTGTGTACGTGTGTACGTGTGTGTGAGCGCGCGGTCCGTACGCCGCGTGCAGTGCGCTCCCATCCACCCGGCTGAGCACGTGCAGCCCCCGTCGCGCGCGCTGCACCCCGCGCCGTTGTGGCAGCTGCACGTGTGCAGGCAATTGGCCCCCCACAGGCCCGGCGGGCAGGCTGCACACACACAAAGACAAAGGACCCCCGTATAGCGTTAACAGGCTGTTGGGGCAAGTCCTATGAAGGCTGGCACGGCCGCGCGAGGGTAAACGTTGCAGTTAGAACCAAGCCCCGCCGCCTTTGTCTCCCCCAGCGCTGACGTTTACCACACCACGCCAGGTCGTCGTTTAAGGTTGAGTTAACCTTGAAGATGTTTAAATATTCGCCCCCTGGTATTGGTCGTGAGCGGAAATCGGACTCGGGTTTGTCGTGCAGTGCGCTGACCACTGCACTACCGCTCCCACAACAGGCCGCACGGATACACGCACACACACACGCATGTGCATGGGGGTGGAGCGGTGGGACAGCGGTTAGCGCGCACTGCACTAGGCACCCAGCGTCGCGTGACCGCTGCGTGGCGACAAGACGCCTCCTCCTCCTCACCCTGCGAGCAGTCGCGGCCGAGCCACCCCGGCGTACAGTGACACGTGCCGTCCACGTGGCTGCAGGAGCTGTTGTTGGCACAGGTACACACCTCTCGGCACCCGCGCCCGTACCTGCCTGGGGGGCACGCTGGGGGGTCGAGAGGGCGGGGGGGGTTAATCCAGGGGTAGGCAACACGCGGCTCTTTGAGGACCTTGAAATATTGAGGTTTTGTTTGACCGAATTCGAATGATAAATGGCTTTCATCTTCTTGGTTCTTTCGGTAAAGTCACGTAGAAGGGAAATAATAAAATAATAAAAATAAATGGCTTTCTTTGTTATTTTGGGTTGGTGGCCCCTGGGTTAATCAAATGATCAAGCTCAATACAATCAGGCCTTAAAAGGATGAAATATATAATGGGCAACGTTTCAGGAAATGGACCTTTTGCATAGCAGTCTAATGTATTTGTTTAACCCGCTGAGAAGTCGAGCGACCAGGGCGTCGTTTGTAGGATTTCACGAGCAATATGATGATTCTAAATGAGGGAAGTCTCGTTTGCAAGCGTGACCCGGGTTACCAACATGGTGAAGGATGCTATCGTAATAACATTAATAATGTGTCGTTTTATTCGTATTTAACGGCGTCGTTCATGCAAATTGCATCTTAACATGCTGCAGAACATGCAACGCGCACAGCTTTTGCACAGAGGCTCGGGGAAAAGCAGAGGCACGATTCGGAAGCCGCCAGAACCGGCGCCAACGATTGCCAAAGCTCTGTGGTCCTTTATTTGGATGTTTGGCCAATTCCATTCACGAGTGTTTTACGCAAGTGGCAGGCCATGGGGAGGACCCCGAGACAACCCACGAGGCTCAAAGCCGAGGGCGGGTTAACCTCTATTCTTACCGAGAGCCTGTGCGATGGAAACAAAACACGATGATCTATTCGGTTAATCGACGAGTAATCGACGAGTTTGTGCGTTGGGCGCACCCTGGTCGCAGAGCTGCCCCGTGAACCCGGGCAGGCAGCGGCACTCCCCCGTCACGTGGTGGCACGGCCCGTTGCCGTGTAGACACTGGGGGCACGCCTGGGCACAGCCGAGGCCGAAGGTGCCTGGAGGGCACACTGTGCGGGGGGGGGGGGGGGGGGGGGTCCGGGGTAGGCACGATGATGAGGATGATGATCAGTCGTTACAATGATGATTATGATCGTGATGATAAGATGGTCATGATTCGGAACGACAGTCAATAATTGATGATCGTTATTTGCTGTCCTTCCCATCGCACCTCCCGGTTAGCGCGGTTGGCTACGTACGGTGCGAAAGAAGTTCAACGTGCATACATAGTGATGAATGTGATCATTAAAATAGGCTTAATACATATTTGTAAATCACAGGTATACCTACTTGCTCTCTCGTCTGATTACATGGCACTACCTACCGAGTCTCATGCCTACCTGCCTGCCTACCTGGGTACCAAGCTACGGTGGGGGCGGGGTGGTGCGAGGGGCGGAGCAGGGGGGAGGAGTGGCTCATCCAGCAGTGGAGTGGCAAAATATCTCTAAATATGCGTGGCTGTGTTATAAGAGCTGCTCTGAGTGGGGATTGTTTTGGACTGCAAGACGAGGCCAGCGTCATTCCACGTGGCCCCGTGTAGTAATGTCCCGTAATCCATCACAGACTTCACTTGATATTAATGCAGTGCGGGCCGATTGCTCATGTAATGATAATAGCATTTACGCGAGCTTTAGTGGAAAACAAAACAACATTAATCCTATGCAGGTTATTAAAATCCATCTCGCCCGTGTGAGGACGGCACGCACTCGATGCCGCGGTGCACGCGCGCGTGCGCGTCTGTGACGAGGGGCTGCGGACGTGTGCGTTCCATATATCCGGTGATGACATTTGATGATATGTTAATGATCAACAACGGCAACGATAGCAATTCACAGCTCCCTTGTCAACCCAATGATGGATGAACGCCTTCTTCCAACACTGTACCACTTACGGGGGGAGGGGGTTGTTTGACCATACTTCACCACGCTGGTCAGTGCGGGTTGGCGAAGGGCGGAGGAGGCCCAGGGCCGGTTGTTCAGACATCACTCGCCACTGGTGATGGTAGTCGTGGTTCGGGAATCGAACTCAGATGACCGGGTTCGTGGCTTGATGCGTTAACTAACTATCGAAATATTTTTATTTCACTAGGTAAGGCCCACGGAGCTATGACGCTCTTTTTCAGAAGCGACCTTGTCACAAATGATCGCTCAACCAAGTGGCTTATCAATGTGGACATTTATTGCAGCCAAATTATATCAACGCGGGTTTTGAGTATTGCAGCGTTAACCGCTGCACAACCGCTCCCCGTTTTTTAAAATCATAAACGTAAATTCATAATTTCAGATATTAATGATGAATCAAAATATCTAATTTTAAAACATAATGAACGCAAAGTGTTGCCATTTTGTTTGTGCAACTTGTTTAAGTTGAAATATGAAATATTTTTAAGATATGTGCGTCTGATTCAAACTCCAATACAGTAATTTCAAAGTCCATGTCATTTATAAAAATGCAATTTACGATACGAGGTTACGTTTAAGCGTATTGGCCTGCCGAGTGGCTTAACGCAGCGTGTCTAATTTTCAACAAATATAATTAAACCAAAAATGCATTTGCTGAGTCGGCGAAGGCTGCGGAACACATCGATAACGCAATCTCACACTTAACAGCGGGGAAATTAATTCATTGAGACGCAGCGGCCACAACCGCATCAACCGCCCTCCGTGGTGAGCGACGCGGGGTGCGATGCGGGTTTGGTGTTACTGACGTGGCGCCTGGAGTGGCATGGGGTCGCGTCGTGTGACGTTGCATGGGGCGCCGTGGTCTGGCGGCGTGCGTGGTGTGCCGTGGTGTGCCGTGGTGTGCCGTGGTGTGCCGTGGTGTGCTGTGGTGTGCCGTAGTGTTCCGTGGTGTGCCGTGGTGTGCCGTGGTGTGCCGTGCTGTGGTGTGCCGTGGTGTGCTGTGCCGTGCTGTGGTGTGCCGTAGTGTGCCGTAGTGTGCCGTGGTGTGCTGTGCCGTGCTGTGGTGTGCCGTGGTGTGCCGTAGTGTGCCGTGGTGTGCCGTGGTGTGCTGTGGTGTGCCGTGGTGTGACGCGGCGCAGCGTTTTCCCGGCCACCTCTCTGGCACGTCGTGCCCCTGTATCCCGCCGCACACTCGCACGCGCCGTCCGCGGGGCGGCAGGAGGCGCCGTTGTGGCATCCGCACGTGCGCGAGCAGTTGGGCCCCCAGCGGCCCGGGGCGCAGGCGCTGTCACAGCGCGCCCCTACGGGAGGGCACGGGCGCACACCGCACACACAAAGCAAAGATGCCCCATATAGCGTCAACAGACTGCTGGGACAAGTGCTGTTAGCGAGCACCTGTCTCCCGAGTGGCGTCGTTTAAACACCGCACCGGGTGCTCATTTGACGCTGAGTCGACCTAGGGGAGGCCCAGGACCGGTTCAGACATTTGTCACCGATGTTGGTCGTGAGCGGGAATCGAACTCGATTCGCCGGGTTCGTAGTGCGGCACGTTAGCTGCTACGCCACCGCACAGAGACACACACACAGCGCATCAACAAAACAAGAAAGACATGCCCCGTTTTGCCGCATTGAATTATGCAACGCGCAGAGCACCAAGCCGCCAGTTAAGAGGTTGACCTTTCCAGATGCTCAACTCCCAGCGACAGAGCCAAATCCAAAAAAGCCAAACTACCTCCACCACAGAGCTCAACGCGGGTAAATTGCATTGACCAGCGTGGTGAAGTATGGTCGCACGAGCACTCATGCTTGACACGGCGTGGGTTAAGAAAGATCTCGATTACTAAAAAAACCCGTTATATTATTCAAATACTAGCAATACTAATCTCATCATTAGCAGCCTTGATCTGTTATTGTTTAAACACACGGACAACAAAATCTGCCTTTTTGCAGGAGTGCCCGATGGAATGTTGCAGAACTGTGAGAGATGGCGACAGCTTGGAGATTAATGTTATCCAGCAGTGGATAATACACGGCTGATCCTGATTATGACGATTCAGATCCACCAGGCCTCCGTGCGAAAGCAGCGGTAATAATAATAATGATGACAACCCAACGACAACAAGTGGGGCGCTTTGCTCATGGCGGGCTGAGAAAATACGAGCGAGGGTTGAATCAATCCGCCGCCTCCTCCCTCCCGCCCTCCACCGCCCCCCAGAGCTCTCCTCCTCTTCCTCCTCCTTCTCCAACTGCCGTCACCCCCCCCCCCATCTCTCTGGGGGCTCCACTACCGCCTGACCGCGACAAAAAAATTCCGACTTAACAATCCAACTCTTCCTGTAACCTGGCAACTTTACACCGCGACCGCGGGCTGGCCAGCCAGCCATCATCACCCGTGGACATGGAGAGGCGATTAGTATTCTGAGATTCAAGCGCCTCCAGGTTTTAAGGGTGCACAGAGGGAGAAACTTTCATTTTGTGCGTGCGCGTTTGTAGGAGGATGAACACAGCCGATTTAAAAAAAAAACTAATCGCAGTCTGTGCCGAGTGCATCTCCCAACAGTTATTTTCGGGTTGTGCCGTGGGCTGGTTCGCGGCCACGATGTACCGACGTTTCTGGCGCTGCGAGCTTCTACGGGAACTGACGTCCAGCGGCGTCTTCGCAATGCACGACAAATGACACCGTGAAGCGTCGTCGTGGAGAATGTTAATGACAAAATAACTGTCGCTCACCCCACCCACCCCTATCGGTCTGTCCATGCACACACAAAGCATTCAAAGGATATTTTCTGTACGGTTTTGTGTTGAACGAGGAACCATTTACCTTCAGGACGGGAAATCGCCCATAAACGTCCGGCAGTTCAACAGAATTGATTTAAGCAAGCCTGGCCCTGCTGATGAGAGATACTGAAGATTGAAAACGGTCTCAGAGTTGTGCTTATATTGAGCCGCTGCTGCTGATGAGATTGCTCTCCAAGACGGTCCGCACGACACGGATGAACACGTGGCACAACACGAGAACGCACATCCCGTGTAGGTACAGGGCATGGGGCACCTGCGTTACCGGGACACTAACTTTGAGCTTGATGCTCGATTCATGAAAAAAAAAAATTTAAAAGTTGCCATGCCATTAGAGCGCTGTAATGATGATGTAGTTATCATCATCCTCCGTGGTCACTCCACTGCTGGATGAAGGCCTCCCCTAGCGGTCGCCAAACCGCACGGTCACGAGTTGCACTGAACGCAGTGGTAACCCTCGGCACTGAACAATTGCTTCTGCGGTTGTCAGGACTTGACGTGAGATTGTTCGAGTTGTGTATGTGCCTGTTACGAGTCGTGTCTCCTCGTGAACCCGGCGTGGAACACGAGTAAAGAGAGCATGGGGGGCATGGGGGGCATGGGGGGCATGGGGGGCATGGGGGGCATGGGGGGCATGGCTATCCTCCTCCAGGGAGTTGTCGACCTCGCTCTCTCCGGCGGAGCGACGGGATTTGGTGAGGAGCGACGCGGGCTGACGGGGTCGGCGTGTGACAGGGGGAGATAATTAGAGACGCGGCGAGACGCGTGTCGCTTCTGCTGCCACTTGGACGAGAGGAACAAAAAATAAAAATAAAACGCGGGCGGCGGAGCGAGACAGAGTGGACGCCGAAGCAGAGGGGGGGGGGGGGGCGACGCGGCGGGTCGAGGGTGGACGGACGGACGGCGATGCAGGTGGGAGAGACGGAGGAGGGATGGGACAAAGAGATTCAGCAGAAGGATGGACGTAGCTCTGGGCAGAAGAGCAGACGGCTCGATAGATGGATGGACAGGTGGACGAACAGATAAGTGGACAAATGGACAGAGATGAAGGCTGGACAGAGCGTAAGGGCGGACAGATGAGACAAATGAGTGAAAGTACAAATGGACGAGTGTAACGGTAGATGGGTACGTGGAGTGACAGAGGATAGGGTGAACGGACTGACGAAAAAGAGAAAGAGAGGGGGAGAGAGAGGGAGAGCACATAAAGCAAAACAATGAAAAAAAAAACAAATGATGAACCAAGCAAAGTGCCGACTAAACCGGGCATCTTCTTGTTTCCTCTGATCGTAAAAAAAAAGAACGGACGGACATGCGGACGGCACGAACCGGTCCATCCGTTGTGGCAAGGCAGCGCCCCGTGACGCGGTCGCACTGCTCCGCGTGGCCGCAGTCGCAGAGCTCTCGGCAGCCGCGTCCGAACGAGCCGGGCTACTCGCAGCAAACCACACACACACAAAGAGACAAAGATCCCCCGTATAGCCTCAACTTGACTGCTGGGGGCAAGTGCTTTGATGAAGGCCGGCACGGCAAACGAGGGGGTGGGTGGCCAACACCGCACCTTGCGGCCCCAGTCCTGATGTTTACGCATTTCAGGCTGAGTCGACCTAGGGTAGGCCTAGGACCGGTTCAGATAATCGTCACTGGTGTTGATCACCGGGTTCGTAGCGCAGAGCGCTAACCGATACACTATCGCTCCCCAAAGACAAAGATCCCCCGTTTAGCCTCAACAAACTATTGGGGCAAGTGCTGTTAGCGTCGAATCTACCCCCCCCCCACGCACATATTACATATCAGCCTTACACATTAACATACATACACACTCCCTCTCTCACACACGTGCATGCACTCTCTCTCTCTCTCCACCTCTCTCTCGCCCTCACCTGACACGCGAGCTCGCACGCCTCCCCCCTCCACCCTGGGGGGCACGCGCAGTCCCCCGACGCGGGGTCGCAGCCCGCGGGGGGGCGGCAGCGGCACGAGCGGTTGCAGCCGAGGCCCCAGCTGCCCGGGGCGCACGGCAGCGAGCAGTCGGGGCCGTGCCATCCTGAGCACCACCAACAGCGGGGAAGACTCCAATCACACGGACGTCCGGTGCTCACGACTCGGGCTGCCCGAGCCTTGACCCGGACAGTCACGGGGAGTGGCATCTTTGTGTTCGCGGCTGGCAGGAATTGATCTGTACCGACCTCCGTGATGAACGGGATCGCAGAACACTGCACGGTTTTGATAGCCTCGTCTAAAGTGGACAAGGTGGCTATCCTACCCCCCACGGGAGTAGGATAGCCAAGTAGCACGGTTGGCTACGTACGGTGCGAAAGAAGTTCAACGTACAGTGACATACACGGCCCGGCTGTCCGTGATTACGAGAAGTTGGAAGCGTACTCTTTGTTTTTTTCGGTAAAGTCACGTAGGTAAAACAATCAATAAAATAAAATAAATGAAAACAACTAAATTAAATCACGACGTTTAGGAGGCAACACACGCTTCCTTCATCAGGTGTAAAAAAGGGCACAGCAAAATAGCAAAATAACAGAGCTACAGTTATTTTGCTGTGCCCTTTTTTATGAAGGAAGCTTGTGTTGCCTCCGAAACGTCGTGATTTAATTTAGTTGTTTTCATTTATTTTATTTTATTGATTGTTTTACCTACGTGACTTTACCGAAAAAAACAAAGAGTATGAATCCTTGCAGTCACGAAAGCTTCAAATCTAGATTAAGTGGGAAGCGGTTGGGCAGTGGTTAGCGCACTGCGCTACAAACCCGGCGACCCAAGTTCCATTCCCACTCACCATCAATAACAGTTGCAGAATTATTGAACTGCTCCCGCATCTCCCATAGATCTACTCAGCCTAAAATGACGACCTGGTGCCATGTGTAAACATCATCGCTGGGAAGTCAAAAGCGGCAGGTTCTCCCAGGTGCTGCTCGCTAACAGCACCTGGCCCAGCAGTCCGTGAAGGCCATACGGGGGGTCTTTGTCTTTGCTGTGTGTCGACAGCGGTTCCGAGTGCGCCTGCACTGAATCGCAACGCTGCTGAGATTGTGCGCTCCCAGAAGGCCACGGGGCCGATGGGGTTGTGTAAAAAAAAGTACTTTTGTCGAGGTAGCGGCTCGCGGGGGAGATGTATTGTCTGCTTATCCGTGTTGATATCTCCCAAAGTTCACCGAATTCGTCGCTAATTAAAGTTGAAACTTTGAACCCGGTAACTTTTTTTATTCCCACAACCGATGTGTCCGCCTCCGTCTGGACCGCCCCTCACCCTAACCCAACCCCGCCTCACTTTCAAAACTCAAACTAAAAAACACTTTTCATGATAACAACAACAACGATAATGACGCGACAAGAACGCTTTCATGGACCTTAATTAAATCCACACACACGCGCACGGCGATAACATCGGCAAAGAGCATGTGTCCAACACTCTCTCCGTGCCAAATCAACGACCCTTCGCACTTCACGATTCGTCAGCGGGCCTCGCCACTTCACCGTTTCGACAAAACACAAAAATCGCCAGCAGCTGGAAGTCGTCTCACGCCGCACAATTAGGCGAATTCCGCGCCGCGCGAGAAACGTAAACAAAGAAGCGTGGTGCTTTTGTTTGCGTCTCCATCTCACAAAGGGGACTTCTGCATCATGAAAACAGAGAACAGGCTGCTCCATCGGACCGGCCTTACACGGGCAGGAGAGCATGCGTCTGTGTGTCTGTGCGGGGAGCACCTGGGTCTGTCCCGTGACCTCCTGCCAGCGGGCGTTCGACGTTTCACGTGGCCTTAACGTGCACATAGCCTGCCACAAGTGCCGTGGTGACGTCACCACCACTTAGTGGCGAAAGACGATTGTTGTTGTTGTTGCGGGGAGCGGTGGCGCAGCGGTTAACGCACTGCGCTACGAACACGGCCACCCGAGTTCAATTTTCGCTCATATCCATCGCCAGTGACAATCTGTCTTAACCGGTCGTGGGCTTCCCCTAGATATACTCAGCCTCAAATTAGTGCCTGATGCAGTGTGTAAACATCAACACTGGCTCTGCCCCCCCCCCCCAATCGTGTCCCGTGCTGGCTTTCATAGGGTGCTCGCGAAACGCACTTGCACCCCAACATTCTGTTCAGCCTACACGGGGGAGCATGGCTGATGTCACGCGAGAACGTCTACACCGGGGCAGACAAAGGGCGGTCCGGATCACGCGCCTGTGGTGGAGGCGGCCACTCCAAGCACCCCCATCCATCACCCGTGCCGCCCGTGGCGGCCTCGATGCCGCCGCTCGCTCGCTCCCTCGTAACGCGTTTTGAGCGCTGGGCGCGCGGTGTCTTCCAGGCTACACGGGAAGGAGAGAGATCTTGGGGAAATGTGCGTTGCGAGCTTGGGGTGGTTTTGTGTTTTAAATAAGGAACAAGACGTTACTGTTCATTGTCGAACCGTTTGCTTATACATCGCTGTTATTATTAGTGTTACTACTACTCCTACTTGAGGAGGTGAGGTCAGGACACGGAGCAAAAGACTTAAAGATGTGGAACCAATTAAGGTGGGACTCTTTCTTGCACTCGGTCAAACCGGCCGGGGGTAAAGGCGGCTGCTGAGCGGGGCGTTTCATTAGAGGAGGAGGAGGCCAGATAAAGAAAACGCGGAACAGAAAGCCAGCCCGGTGGCGGAGGGAGGGGAGAGGGGGAGAGGGGGGGAGGGGAAATAATGCGCGCGTTATTTATTTATTTACGCATTTAATTCACCTGCCCGGTGACCGTGGGCCGGCAGTGCGGAATCAGCGTGCGAGACGGGTGGCGACAGGTCGCGTGCGCTCTCGATAATAAACTGGGGGCCCGGGTCATTACCCCGCGTCGCTCCGCGCCAGCGCCGACCTCGGCGTTATTAAACGGGCGACCTTTTAGCGGCGACGGGAAATCATAATAATAATAATGTATTAGGTTGGCATTACAGGTAGCGCGCGTGGCTTGTGTACTTGTGTCAGCTCGCGGAGGGGTTTTGTTTGTCCGCGTTGGGGACGCGATTACACGCAGCAACAACAATAACAACAACAAAATTCGGGGTAGCGAGTTCGTGGTTTCAGTCCGGTCACCAATGACTTACTTAGAGACCCATACACTCATACAGAAGCCTACCTACATACTCACACAGAGACTCATACACTCATACAGAAGCCTACCTACATACTCACACAGAGACCCACAGACTAATATACAGATCTACATACCCACACAGAGACCCACAGACTAACACAGAGTGAATTGTGAATACTCTAACTTAGTTCATGGTCTCAGCCTGGTTACTCATTGCGCAAAAATCACTATGAGTTTGATTTTGCTCTGAAGTCGTCTGAATTCCAGCTCTGGGAATGTAAACGTCGAGATTGACTGTCACGTGCGCTTCTGTGACAGCACGAGTGTCAGAGTGCTGCCCCCACTGGGTGGATCAGAGGGCACGTGAAGGATCTCAGAGGGAGCTCTGTGATATCCGCTTCTGCGGGCCCTTCTCGACGAGAGAGTTCCACACGGACGCCGATATCGCGCTCGCGATGCAATTGGGGGGGAAATATTTTCTTTGAAAAATGTAGGTGACTTCAGAGGTATAGTCAGTGCATCGTTCCTCTACGCAACGTGTTGGTCGATAATTATAACAACTGCGATGATGACGAAGACAATGATGATGATGGTGATGACGAGAATGGCAACGATGGCAGCGAAGATGAACATCATGATGTCACCGGATGGGAATTTCTCGTCTTATGACATCGGTGATGTGGATGTGACAGCACGATCTGAGCGAAGTGCTGCTGTGATGTGTATACATATGTTTAACAAGTTAAATCCTCTTGCAAAACTTGCGATGGGAAATTGTTAAAGTCGAGTGGCAGACAGGAGGAAGGAGAGGCGACGCGTATTTGGGGGTAAAGAAGCAGACTCAGTGTAATCATCTGTCACTGCAACCCGTGTAGACACTGCTGTGAAACTGTTTAGCGTTTAAATAACGGGGGGGGCGGGGCTGGTCGTGGTGGTGGAGGGTGGTGGTGGTGGGGGTGGTGGTGGTGTGGGTGGTGGTGGTGGTGGTGTGGGTGGTGGTGGTGGGGGTGGTGGTGTTGGTGGGAGTGGTGGTGGTGTGGGTGGTAGTGGTAGTGTGGGTGGTAGTGGTGGTGTGGGTGGTAGTGGTGGTGTGGGTGGTGTGGGTGGTGGTGGTAGTGGGAGTGGTGGTGGGGGTGGTGGGGGGGGGGGTGGCGGTGGAGGCGGTGGTGGGGGGCGGTGGTGGTAATGGTGGTGGGGGTGGTGGTGATGGTGGGGGTGGTGGTGGTGTGGGTGGTGGTGGGGGTGGTGGGGGTGGTGGTGAGGGTGGTGGTGGGGGTGGTGGTGGGGGTGGTTGGGGTTGGGGCTGGTGGTGGTTAGGGGTGGTGGTAGTGGGGGTGGTGGTGAGGGTGGTGGTGGGGGTGGTGGTGGTGGTAGTAGTGGGGCTGGTGGTGGTTAGTGGTGGTGGTGGTGGTGGGGGTGGTGGTGGTTATTCGATTTAACGAACAACGTCATCGGATTAAATGGAGAACTTTGCTCGGTGAAGAGCGATTCAGGGGAAATGAAACAAACTGGGCCGATTTGGGTTCCCGCTCTAAATCGTGATTTTTTCATTCGCTCCATTCTAAAATCACTCCCTGGTTGTTGTTTTGTTTGTGCGTGTGTCTGATTGTTTGCGTGTGTCTGATTGTTTGTGTGTGTGTCTGATTATTTGTGTGTGTGTCTGATAAAGGCTCGCATATTCAGCTTCAGCTGCCTCTAATCACTCATCATCATGTGGATGAATCCTAACGCGTTCGGATGCTGCCAAATTGGGTTATTGTGGCTGAGCCGCGAGTCCCGTTCTGCCGCGAATGATTACGAACAGCGACCGAATGGGGGAGCAAGAAGTGCGAAATGGATGAGGGATGATTGGGAAGGGGCAGGGAAGCTGGGAGGTGGAGTGGGGATTACATGGGCGAGGAGGGGAATCGGCGGGTGGTGAGTGGGGAGCGGAAAAGATTGAATAGGTCCGGATTGGGAGAGAAGTTGACCTGATGGTCGAGTTTCAGGGCAGGTGGGATTAGAGGGGAATGGATGAGGGGACAATGGGAGGAGAGAGGAATAGAAAGGAGTGGAGCGGTGAGCAGGGAGTAGAGGAGATGGCGAGGTGACGGGAGGAGAGTCCAGGAGAAGAGGGGAGACGAGGGGAGGGAAGACGGTGGCGAGCAGCAGTAAGAGCACGGCACAGGAGAGGGAGCAAGATGATGGAGGAGGTGGGATGCGAGGAGAGGGGAGAGCACGCAGAGAAATGAGAGGTCACCGAGACAGGGGAGAGGGGACGCGAGGCAGGAAGGCGAGGGAGTGGGGAGTTGGGGGAGGGGGTGGGTGTGTGGGGGGAGAGGGGAGGGGCTGCCCGTACCCGCCAGGCACGAGCAGCTCCCGTCCAGGGGGCTGCAGCTGGCGCCGTTGAGGCAGGCGCAGGGGGCCGAGCAGTTCGTGCCGAACGTGCCGAGTGGGCACGGCGTGGAGCAGTCGGGGCCCTGCCCACACACGGGGAGGGGGGGGGGGCGAGTGAGACCCCCACCATAAACACGACCAGAAACAACAGCAAACACCGCCACGAAATCCACGACCAAGGTCACCCAAGGCACCATCACCACTGACTAACAACGACCAAGATAACCCTACCATCGACAAGCATTGTTATCACAATGCCTACAGCGATAACCATTACAAGCACCGACACAGCAACCACTCAGACCAACAACAACAACAACCTCCATCACCACCACGATCACGCCAACCAACATTAACCACCGTCAGAACCACGACTATCCTCACCACCACCACCGCAATGACAACCATCATGCACCATCACCACCACCACGCTAACCTACTCAACAATTTGGTGACCCCCTCCCGCCCCCACGAGAGGAACTCACGGCGAGTCCCGGCGGGCAGGAGCAGGCGCCGGTCTCGTGGTGGCAGCGCGCGGCCCCGTGGCACGCGCACGGCTGCGCGCAGCCCTCGCCGAAGAGCGGCGCGGCGCAGGCGGCGTCGCAGCGCGCGCCCCTCCAGCCACGCAGGCACGCGCACTCGCCCGACACGGGGTGGCAACTGGGGGGGGGGGGGGAATCAGCATCGTCATTATCGTCACCGTCGTCATCAAAGACATCATCGTCGTCGTCAACGTCGTCGTCATCATCGTTATAGTCATCATCAGTGTCGTCATCGTCATCATCATCGTCGTCACCGTCGTCATCATCATCGTCATCATCAGTGTCATCGTCATCATCGTCATCACCGTCGTCATCATCATCAGTGTCATCATCATCAGTGTCATCATCATCATCAGTGTCATCATCAGTGTCATCATCATAGTCATCATCATCAGTGTCATCATCATAGTCATCATCATCGTCGTCACCGTCGTCATTATCGGCATAGTTATCATCATCGTCAGGAGTGGTAGATCTTGACCATCATTATTGTGATCATCACTGTCAAGCGAAGTCAACATCAGTTTGTGTAACCAGGGTCGCCGTGGTGGCGAGATGTTAACTACATCGTCTGGTATACAGGAGGCCGTGGGTTCGATCCCGACCGTGGCGCCTTGTTGTATATTTGGAATTTCCATGATCTCGTGGATATTTCTGCTGGTCCTCTGCTTTTTCCTTCCATATTTTGAATCCACGTGCGTTTAGAGTATTTGTCTGCTATACATGTCCTCGTGATAAGCCATTTCATTGGGCTATCATTGGGAGTCAGGTCGCTTCTGCAAAATATATACAGATATAGCTCAGTGGGCATTACCTGGTAAAAAATAAAACATAGTTTAATCGTTTTAGTTTATAGATAACTCAAGAGAAGAGGATAGAATATAATTTGCAAGCGTGACCTAGGTCACTTTTGTGACGAAATTAAATACAATATCACATGCAAAACAGCTGCATTGCACGAGGATTTGAAAATATTGCACAAACATAAATCAACGTGAAGTCACAGCGAAATATTAAATTCCCTGCAGCGCGAATTGGCTCGGGGCAGATTAACCTCCAGATTGAACACAGCACAAATTACGGAACTAAAGCGACAGAAACATTAAACATTCAGCAGATATCGGGGGCGACTACTGTACTAATATTAACAAACAGGGATATGAGTGAAGTGCAATTACAAGTGAAGCTATCATCAATCAGTGTCATGATCTTATATGACTTCATTATCATTGCCATCGCCATGACCATAATCGTTCACGCCATCGCCATCATCGCCGTCATCATCATCATAACCATTGTTATTATAATCAACGTGATTTTCAGAATTGATATCATCATCATTGTCATCATGGTTATCATCATTGTCATGAATGTCATCGTCTTCAACATCACCCGAGTCATTATCATCGTTGTAGTCATGATCACCATCGCATCATAAGCATCAAACGTTGCTTTGTTTGTGACGAATTCATAAAACATGGAGAAAACATCCCCACACCGCGGCGTACCCCTCAACCACCGCTGTTCACGGCGGTGGTGGTGGTGGTGATGGCAATGATGGCAGTGATGGTGGTGGTGATGCTGTAATGGTAGATGGGAGTGTAGGGTGGTGGTTGTTCTGGTGAGATTGATAGTCGTGGTGATTGTCGGTGAGGGTGTGCCGTGCCGGCTTTCATGGGTGCTCGCTCACAGCACTTGCCCCAACAGCCTGGTAAGGCTACACGGGGTATCTTTGTACTTCGGTGGTGGGGTGATAGTGGTGCTGTTTGTGGCGCTAATGACGGTGATGGTTCTGTTGGTGGCCATGGCGGCGAATGTGGTCGTCAGTGGTGATGGTGGCGATGCTAATGATGATTGCGTTCACCACGGCGATGGTCGTGGCGATGGCGGTGATGGCAACCGATGGGCTAGGACTGCGCGGAGGCACAGAGAGGATAATGTGGATGTAGCGCCGGATTACGGGGGATCAGTAGCAATGGTGGAGGGGGGGGGGAGTAGTTTGAGAGGAAATAGTGTAGAGATGATGGGCGACCCTGGCTGGGAGAGGAAGGATCGACAGGGGTTAGGCCACCGTGAGAAGATAATCAGAGGGAGAAGCCACTCTGACAACTGCACGTGTCACGCGACCTTTGCGATATCCCCGCAAAGCCGCCCCCCGCGATGTGCGAGGGAGGTGGGGGGGCAAATACGGATCCAATTTTATTAAAAAAAACATCCGTGCGATGTTCTCCCTTGACAAACTCGCTAAATGGCAAGAGAAGCCAAATCATCGTTCAAGGACTCCCCCGTGCCCAATTGAACAATTGGTAGCGTTGGACCACCTTTTTTTTAAATTGTGCGTGGAAATTCCACGTTCGTGTGACGTGGACGGGCCATCCGTAGGCCATCACGAAGAGGGGCTGTTAAGCTGGTCTGTCACACAGTCGTGCTGCAGACTCACCGGGCTGATGATGACAAAGACGATCACGATGATGAAGAGAATTGAGCTTACCCGATTATGAAGACAAACTGGCTAATATATATACCTACCCAACTCATTCCTATGCTGCTCCCGTTGTCTGGAACTCCCTTCCCCCAGTCATCGGTGCTGTGGAGGCCCTGCCCCGTGTCAAGTCCAGTCTGCCTAGGAGGCGGTCTGCCTCCCTCTCTAGCGTAACTCTAGAGTCACAATTACACGCGATATACATCCACATTGTAGGTGCTCTTGTGCCTAAGCACCCTCGTACCGCCTACCTATGCAGCGCCTACTCGGCAATGAAACACGACGATGAATTGTGCTGACGACGGTGGTTAGCGCTGTGCACTCTGGAGCTGGCAACCCGAGTTCGATTCCCGGCCACGGCTGTCATCAGTGGCGAGTGGTATCTGAAATGCTTCTAGCACCCCCAAACATTCACCAACCCGCACTGACCAGCCTGGGGAAGTATGGTCACACCATTCACCCACGACCGACACGGCGTGCGGATGCTTTCATCCAGCAGTGGATTCACAAAGCACTATCAAGGGTTTCAATGATGACGGCGATGATGGCGATGATGGCGGCGATCGTGGTGGTAAGAAATGACGAGGATGTGAATTCCTGAGCCTCCACAATCTCAAGGATGATACATTCCGGCGAAGACAAATTGTAATTAACAAACCGCCCATCTCATTTCCACCCAAGCGTGAAAATCGGCATCGTCCCCCATCACCCCCGCCCCCTCTCCAACACGCACATCCGCCCCCTCTTTGTCTCTCCCCCCCCCTCCCCCTCCCCGTACATCCACCGCCACCCCCAACTTCGTGCACGCACGGGCTCATGTCTCTCACCCTCTCAACCTTCTGCCCCTCCCCTCCCGCACCCCCCACAACCGACTTTGCCCTTGCCCCCCCACATCCCCATCCCACACTCCCAGGATGGCGGCTCCCATCGCTATCTCTCATTACGCAGCAAAAAATATCAAATCCCACCAATTAATGTGCTAATAGCGAGGCTTATCCACCGGTCTCACTCTCGCCTCCCCCTCGGCTACCCCCCCCCCCCCGTCAAAGCGTGGAGCCGGGGGAGGGTGAAAAGGGGGTGGGGGAGTGTCAGGTGATGAGTCATTCACATTCACGCGCCGCTTCATTCCTTCATCCTTCTCCTCCATCCATCAATTTGTTTCGCTAATTTATTCATCTGCGACTTCGAACCTTCGTTCCTTCATTCGTCCGCTAATGAACGAAGGAATGCGTTCATCATTCGTAAGGCGCCTTTCCGGCTGGCGTTGGCCGAGGCGGTGCAAGGGACGTTGCCACGACAGGTTCCACCTCGTAGAGACGGAGCAAAGAGATCGGTTCGCGAGTGAGAAGATGGAACGTCGCAGCGCTGCACCGTGACGGATGAGGTTGCGTCATCCAGCGGTGGGGAGATCACAGCTGAAGACCACGATTCATAATTTACAGACCTTTGATAATCCCCTGCTGGATGAAGCCCGCCTCCACCACACCATGATGGGGGGGGGGGGTGTTTGACCATACTTCACCACTCTGGTCAGTGCGGGTTGGTGGAGACGCTGCGGGATTGGGAGGCAGGCTGGGTTCAGATATCTCGCGCCACTCATGCGAGCCGTGGCCCGAATGAAGTTCATTCGCTCCAGCAGGCAAGAGACCCGGATGAGTCTCCGCAGCAGGATGGACTTGGGACGGCGGTCTGCTACTAATGCAGGTCACGGGGTTCATGGCGCAGTGCACTAACCACTGCGCCACCACTCCCCCCCCCCCCCCCCCAATATGCTGTAATACGAATGTAAAATTATAGTCCTACTCAGGAATCCCGTCTGTAGACGTGGGGACATTTGTAAAATATTCATTAACCTGGCGCTCTTTTACAAAACGCGACTTTGATCGAAACCTTTATGGATGTTTCCTTCTGCTCAGTGGCAGGATAACCCCCCCCCCCCGCCGCCACTCCGCCACGTGACGGAGCCTAATTAATCCGCTGGCCACGGTGAAATGCCCAGCATCTGCACGGCCACGCGACGACTCGTTCTTATTTAATATTCAGCAGCGCGTCGAGAATTACCTGCCGCCACCGCCTCCAGCCTCGCGAGCCGAGGGGGAGATGAGTAGGAGAAACAAACCCCAAAGCTGACCGTGAGAAAATTACCCAACAATTTGCACAGCTCATGACAGCTGCGGTGGCTTGGTCGTGTTTCCAAACGTGAGCCTCAACTCAAAAATTGCTCTAACCCCACACAGTCTAAAGATTCGAAACCATAGTTCTGACACTAACCATGGAGGTTTCCACCCCACATCCAGCCCTCACACGAACCCCTAAACCCCACTCCCAACCCTCACACGAACCCTTAAACCCCATCTCTAACCCTAACACGGACCCCTAAACCCCATCTCTAGCCCTCACACGAGCCCCTAAACCCCATCTCCAACCCTCACACGAACCCTTAAACCCCATCTCTAACCCTAACACGGACCCCTAAACCCCATCTCTAGCCCTAACACGAACCCATAAACCCCACCCCCAACCCTCACACGAACCCCTAAAACCCATCTCCAACCCTCACACGAACCCCTAAACCCCACCCCCAACCCTCACACGACCCCTAAACCCCACCCAAACCCTCACACGAACCCCTAAAC